AGGATTAGAACCGGTGCCCACATGGCAAGGACTTTAGCCACTAGGCTACCGTGATGAGCCCAGTCATTTCATTTTAATATTTAAGCAAAAGAACATACAAATTTACCTTAATATTTTGTGCTTTTATTTAAAGAAAACTGAGTATATCAAATATACTATGTAGAGTGAAATTATAAGCCTTTTGATTGTGTGTTTTAAGCTTTTTTTTGAAAGGCAGAGTTACACAGAGACACAAGGAGAAAGACAGCAAGAGAGCTTCATGTGTTGGTTCATTCCCTAAATGTTTTAGTTGCAAAGGTCAGAGCTGAGCTGGTCCATAACTAGAAGCCGGACGCTTCTTCTGGGTCTCACACATGGGTGCAGGAGCCCAAGGACTTAAAAAACTCCCACTGCTTCCTAGACTACAAGCACGGAGCCCTGATTGAAAGTGGAGCAACTGGGACTCGAACTAGTGCCCATATGGGATGCTGGTGCTACAGAAGGAGACTTATTCTACTAGGCCAAAGCACCAGGCCCTTCTCCCTTCTTTTTGTTTTTTTTTTAAAGATTTATTTATTTTTATTGGAAAGGCAGATATACAGAGAGGAAGAGAGAGAAGAAGATCTTGTATCCAATGGTTCACTCCCCAAGTGACCGCAATGGCAGGAACTGAGCCAATCCGAAGCCAAGAGCCAGGAGCTCTTCCAGGTCTCCCACATGGATGCAGGGTCCTAATGTTCTGGTCCATCCTCGACTGCCTTCCCAGGCCACAAGCAGGGAGCTGAATAGGAAGCAGGGCAGCTGGGATTAGAACTGGTGACCATATGGGATTCTGGCACGTTCAAGGCAAGGACTTTAACCACTACGCTATCACACCAGGCACCCCTTCTTTTTAAGTGGTAGCCAATCATCATTTGAAGGAGTCAACCCTGGAACAAGCATTTGGCTTAGCAGCTAACACTGGTTAGGGTCAGTGCCTGTGCCCCGTATTGGAATTTTTCTGTTTGACATGTCTCTGGCTGCTGAGTGATGCTTCTCGCTAATGCACACCCAGAAAGATGGTAGTGATGACTCCAGGAGCTTGGATCCTGCCGTTGGCAAACTGAACTGCATTCTTCGCTCAGCCCAGCCAGACCCAGTCCAGGAATGAACTGTATGTACATGGGAATTCTTTCTGTTTCTCAGGTAAAATTTTTTTTAAAAAAACGGGCCCGGTGGCGTGGCCTAGTGGCTAAAGTCCTCACCGTCACCATGCCGGGATCCCATATGGGCGCTGGTTCTAATCCCGGCAGCCCCGCTTCCCATCCAGCTCCCTGCCTGTGGCCTGGGAAAGCAGTCGAGGACAGCCCAAAGCTTTGGAACCCTGCACCCACGTGGAAGTTCCTGGATCCTGGCTTCAGAGAGGCACAGCATCAGCCATTGCGCTCACTTGGGGAGTGAATCATCGGACGGAAGAGCTTCCTCTCTGTCTCTCCTCCTCTCTGTATATCTGACTTTCCAATAAATAAATAAATCTTTAAAAAAAATTTTTTTTAAATTATAAGACATTGCGCAAGAGTAGCTTATTAAGAAAAATAAAAAGTGGGCCTGGTACCCTGGTTCAATGGTGAAATCCTCACCTTGCAAGTGCCAAGATCCCATATGGGTGCAGGTTCATGTCCCGGCTGCTCCAATTTCCATCCAGCTGGGGATGGAGCTGAGCAGGCAGCTGTAATCACTCGTGTGTGCAAAGCCTGACGTGGGTGATGGACTGAACTCGACCCTGTACTGGCTGGCAAATGCAAAGAGTTAGGTCTAGAGTCATCCCAACTGAGGTTCCTTCGGGGACTCCCCAGTTGGACCACTGGACTCATGGTTCTGGCCACAGAGAAGATCATAGCATTCGTGGTTTGACCTTAGACCACAAGCATGTACCTGGGCCTCCTTGAGTGCTGCGCAGTGAACGGCATGCCCCGGTGCATGATGGGGGACAAGGTGGCCAGCTCATGTAGGCCTGCAGAGGATATCAAGTGCCATAGCAGAGGAGGGACAACTCTCCCCGCTGAGCATTGGCAGCAAGTGTCTGGATGAGTGGAGCACTGTGGCGTTCTGTCAGCCAGCGGACCTTGGAAGGAATGTCTCAACCTTGGCGCAATGAGACCAACAGTGAATCAGAACTATCAAGATCACTCAAGCGATATCTTCAGAACATTCTCTTCCATATTAGGGTTTCTAAGATGACATCAAGTGGACATGCCCATCTCCAGGAAGTGATAGAGTTTAGCACGTGAGAGCGGCTTCCTCCCCCTCCCTCCCTGTACCCCTCCTTATTCCCCTCCCCCACCCAGATACAGGAGAAAAGGGAAGAAAAGGAAAATTGCAAGCATTGTCTCACCCACCTTTCACCACGCCTTCATCCTCCCCACCCTAATGGGTGTGCATCCTTGTCAACTATGTAAACAATACAAAAAAATAAAAGTATTAAGATAAGATAAAAAAATGTGAAGGAATTTAAAAAACTGGGGGCTGGCACTATGGCACACATGGTTAAGCAGCCCCCCTGGGACGCTGGCATCCCATATCAGAGTGCTTGTTGAGGTCCTAGTTGCTGTGCTTCCTATCCAGCCACTCGCTAATGCACTTGGGAAACCAGCGGAAGGCAGCCCATGTATGTGGGTCCCTGCCACCCATGTAGGAGACCCAGCTTCAACCTGGCCAGACTGTGCTGATGTGGCCGACTGGGGAATGAACCAGCAGATACCTCTCCTTCTCTACCATTCTTTCAAATAAATAAAATTACACTTTGTATTTTGATGAGGATAATCAAAAATCTACATGCCCAAATGCCCAGTTGCTGCAAAAAATGAATTCAGTTTTGTTAGACCATCAAGATGTGTGTTTATGCAAATGTGTGTGTGCTAAACAGCATTGATATGAATATGACCCAGGACTGCATGGGAACACACTGGCTAAGCGTCATGGGTGGAGAGAGAAAGAATGTGTCAGAAACCATGGCCTGGGAGAATCAGGCTAGGGACCAGGAGGAAATGGGTTACGCCTCCAGGGTGCATGGAATGCAGACAGGTAGAATTCCAACATTCCAAGGGAGGTAGAAAAATACAGCATGAACTGTTGAAAAATCTGAAGAAAGTTGCACGAAGTGTGGCTGAAGTCAACTGCCTTCCTCCAAAGACCACTCGTGGGCGTTTGTGGAGACTGGCTTTCAGAAAAAGCTCCTCTGGCGTTTGTGAGGGGCGAGAGCAGACCTGTGGGTGCCTTCCCTTAGGCAGCACAGCAAAAGACAGTGTGATCTGGACCCGGTGTCTCAAATGGCTCCTCGGTTGTAGTTTTATCTCTGACAACTTAGAAATTTCGTGAACAAATGTGAGCTTGGGTTTTACTACCACCAGGGGGAGAAAGCACATAAAAAAGGGCCAACCAAGTTGGCAACTTTGCCCAGCTCCGGAGCAGCAAAGATCCCCCTCCCCACATTCCACCCACTCACTCCAGTTTCCTGGGGCCACAGCTCCTAGCTGGTGCTTCCAGAATCAAAAAACTGTGCGTAGGAGCTTCGACCAATAAGCTCGAGAATGAACCCCCTCTTAAATCACCGTTCTAATTTATACTCATCACACAAGTATTCTCCTCAGATATTTATTACATGTCCCAGAGTTAGAAAATGGTTGCAAAATTCCCAACTTGGAAAAAAATGGACTAGTATCTGTCCATTGATTTATTGGTCTCCCAGTGCTGCCGTTTTCAGGGGGGACTGCTGCGATTCCTGTCTCAACGTCCCAAGAAAGTAGAATGTTCCCTATTAGCAGCCCCCCACCCTCTCCTTCCTGCCCCCTCACCACCACTCCTCCCGTTCCACACCAACTGCCCCTTCCCACCAGACCCAGAGCTGCTTCTGGGGCAGCACAGGCAACCCTGGCAGCCCTGGTCTGGGCCTGTGACCTCTAGACTTTGTTTTCCTGGCCGGGTAAGGATTTATTTGTTCTTTTTAAATTTTTTAAAAGATTCATTTATTTATTTGAAAGGCAGTTACAGGGAGTTCACTCCCCAAATGGCTTCAACGGCAAGAGCTGGGCAGCTCCAGGAGCCAGGGGTGTCTTCCGGGTCTCCCACGTGGGTGCAGGGTCCCAAGCGCTGTCCCCATCTTCTAATGGCTTTCCCAGGCACCTTAGCAGGGAGCTGGATCGGAAGTGGAGCAGCTGGGCCTGGAACCCCTTGCTTTCAGCAGCTATACCACAGTGCCAGCACCGGATTTATTCATTCTTACAGGCAGGAAAACCTCACTGGATGTACTGCCATGACATAATTTTAGACGTTTATGTTCCAAAGTGCCATTTACTAAATGTAATCTGATATATATATATATATATTTTAATGTAACTGTGTGGGCCAGTTTTGTCAAATGGTTTAAGCTCCACTTGGTACAACTGCCTCCCATGTTGGGGTTTTGGGTTCAGGTCCTGTCTCCACTTAACGATTCCTAGCTTCTTGCTGATGTGCCTCCCGGGAGGCAGCGGATTCTGGTTCTCAAACTTGGGCTCTCGCCACCCATGTGGACTCTTGGCTTCTGCTTGGCCCAGCACCAGCTGGTGCGGGCGTTTGGGGAGTCAAGCAATTAAGAAAAAAAATCTTTGTTTCTGCCTTTCACATAAAATGAAAGTGAATGTATATTTTAAAATATATTTTCGAAAAAAAAAATTTCTGAAGCGGGTTCTCATGCTGCTCCCGGCCTCAGGAGTGAAGACGAGCACCCGGGGTCAAGTAGCTGGCCCGGTGGGACGCAGCGGCACTTGTGCAGGTGTGGACGCCGGCCGCGAGGGTGCCCGGGCAGGATGGAAGGGCCCGGCCCTGTAAAATACCTTTTACCTGGTCTCGGTTCCGGTCGTGACCCGCCTGCGGGATTCCAAGGGGCAAGGGGTCCGTGTGGGAGCACGTGACCGGCCGAAGGCGGGGCCCGGCCGGTTAACAGGAGGCGGAGGCGCGGGAGCGCACAGTCGGCCTGCGGGCGCCGCGCTGGAAGGCTTCTCCGTCGGGGCGGCCGGGGCCATGGCCTCGGTCCGGGAGAAGGCGGCCGCGCTCAACCTCTCGGCTCTCCACTGCCCCGCGCAGAGGCCACCCGGTAGGTCCCAAGGCCCGTCCCCTGGGAGGGCGCGGGCCGGGCGGGGTGTGGGGCATTCGGCCGTCCCCGCGCGCAGCGGTCGGCTGGGCGAGCCTGGCACCGCCGGGGGGCCCTCGGCTCACCGGGCCGCCCCGCCACGCCGTGCGCGCGCCTCGGGTTGCTCCCCGCCCGCGGACCGGGCGGCCCACACAGCCCGGCTCTTCTCCCGAACTCGAACCTGGCCGCGCGTTGGTCCGTGCGCCCGCCGCGTGCCGGGCGGCCACTCGCCGTGGTCCGGACAGCGCTGCGCGCGGCGGCGACTGACGGGCCGACCGTCCCTGGAACGTGGCTAGCCACACTGACACCTGGACGGACTGCTCGGTGTGGCTCGTGGCCGCAGGGTAGCAGTTCCGAGCCCGTTGCTGGGAGAGGCGAGAGGATCTGTTGATATGTTATCCTAGCAGGAACTTGGCCTAAAGCGTTAGTTTGTTTTTTTTTAACGCCTTCTAAATATGCAGAATTGAGTGGGAAAAAAAAGTTTCTGACTGTTTTTTAAACGTAGGGAGAGAGGTTGGCTAATCCTGCCTTTTGGGGGAAATTCCATTGGAATCTTTTTCATCCGCTGATCGCTTCTAACACTGGCGCTAATGTCAATGCAGCTTGGTAACTAGGGGGATTCAGATGACTGCTAAGATATCCAGGTAACACTTGGCCTTCCTCCCTCCCCCCCTTTGGATAGGTTACAGCATTGGCCCCTCTCTGGAGCTGCGTGCAAACGCCATGATTCCTTCCCCTAGGTCAAAGGAGTGCCGCTCCCCACCGCATCCTGGGATGCTCCTTATAGTTCTCAAAATGCTCATTATCAGTTGTGATCCAGAACTCGGTTTCTTTGTACTTTTCTAAGATCACAATATGGACTGTCTTCTGCCTCCGTGTGAAAGATTTGGATGAGCAGCACATCCAAACCATTTGCTTGGCTGGTACGGTGATGAGAACTCCTTTAAAACATTTGGGAATTGAAAACCCAATGCGATTGAAAACAGTCTTGGGAAATCTTCTGATACTTTGTGAATGCTGAGAAGTCCCCCAGTTTCACCTGATGAAAATGTGGCAGTTGGTTTTCTGCAGCAGCCAAAATACCAGTTCTGGGCTTTGGGCATTTGTGACCAATTTCTTTGATGGTATTAGGGAAGATGGGTTTAAGAATTAAGTAAATGCTTCTTAGGAGAGGTAGGGTGCTGGATAGCGGGTTTGAACCTGGGAGAAGGCAGGTGCAGTGGGCAGAGGGGCCCTGACAGAGTACTGGTTTATTTCCTGTGATACACCTGGCTTTGTGAGCGTTTGTTAAGCCCTCTTCCAACCTTTAGTTTGCTGCATGGTGGTCTTAGCACAGTCATGGGATTCAATGGGTCTTGCTTTCCTGTCATCCCTCTGTATGACTTTTTTTTTGCTCTTTCTCCACTGTTGAGTAATTCTTCCATACTTTAAAGGGAGCGACAAGAGACCTGGTTTACATGAAGAAATAAGGTCTGGATGCCAACCTCTAACCAACCCTTTCCTTTGTAGCTTTAGACAAGTGTGTTCTGTTATCCCTTCCTGCTGTAACCTAAGTCTTTGACTTGGCCTGGTGTCACTTTTCCCGGGAGCTCGAAGTACTTCCCATATGCTGTCTCCCTAGCCTGTATGAACTCAGGCGGGAGCCAGCGCTGGCTTTGCAGCTAGTTACCTTAGTATTTTAAAGTGGTTCTTGTTAGTGGGTTGATCGTTTCACCTGACAGCAGCCATCTTCGGTGAGGCAATCTCGGTCTTCAGCATGCTCATAAAGCCAAACAGGAAGAAAATAAACTTTGAACCAGCAAAACCAACGTTCAGAGGAAGTGTTGCAATGTTGGCGTTGGAAGTGGAGAAGGTGTTTTTCCACTCAGTCACAGCTGCCCAGACTTAACACCCCAGTCACGACTAGCTTTGCATTGATTTTCTGACTTTACAATAAAAATTAATAAATCTTAAAGGAAAAAAGAAAGGTTAATTTTTATTAGAAAAGCAGACTTACAGAGAGAAGAGACAGAAAGATCTTCCATCCACTGGTTTGCTCCGAAAGGCCTCGACAGCTGGAGCTGAGCATATATGAAGCCAGGAACTTCTTCTGGGTCTCCCAAACAGGTGCAGGATCCCAAGGCCCTGGGCCATCCTCGACTGCTTTCCCAGGCCACAAGCAGGGAGCTGGATGGGAAATGGAGTACCCAGGACGCAAACCAGTGCCCATGTGGGATGCCAGTGCTTGCAGGAGGAGAAATAGCCAGTTGAGCCATTGTGCTGGTCCCAGCAGTTAAATAATTTGAACCTCCAAATTATAAGGAAATCTGAAAACAGTATGCAGCAGCATACTGTTTCTTCAGTTTTTAAAGAAATATTTAAATGAAAAGTAGATTCACAGAGAGAAGGAAAGACAAAGAAAATCTTCCATCCGCTGGCTCACTCCCCAAGTGGCTGCAATGGCCAGAACTGAGCTGATCCGAAGCCAGGAGTCTCCTCTGGGTCTCCCATGCGGATGCGGGGTCCCAAGGTTTTGGGTCGTCTTGGATTGCTTTCCCAGGCCACAAGCAGGGAGCTGGTTGGGAAACAAGGCTGCCAGGATTAGAACCAGTGCCCATGTGAGATCCCAGCGTGCTCAAGGCAAAGACTTTAATCTAGGCTATGGCGCCAGGCCCAAGAAAGCAAATTTGTTGTGGGCTGGAGTTGTGGTACAATGAACTGTTACCTGTGAGACACCAGCATCTGCTGTGCTGCTGATGCAGCTGCCTGCTGCTAGGCCTAGGGACGCAGTGGAGAATGGCCCATGTGGGAGACCAGGGTGAAGTTCCTGGCTCTTGACGTTGGCTGAATCAACCCTAGCCATTGTGATTATTTAGGGAATGAGGCAGTGGATGGGAGATCTCTCTCTCTCCTTCTCTTGTCACTCACTTTGTCAAATAAATAAATCTTTTTTTAAACAATATATGTTTTAGTAATATACTTTACTTGTCTGTAAGATCCAGTTTTAGGGTCCCGGCTTGGTTAAGCTAGTGGCTAAAGTCCTCGCCTTGCATGCTCTGGGATCCTATGATGGGTGCAGGTTCTAAAATCCCGGCTGCTCCACTTCCCCTCCAGCTCCCTGCTTGTGACCTGAGAAAACAGTCAAGGACGGTCCAAAGCCTTGGGACCCTGCACCCACATGAGAGACATGGAAGAGGCTCCAGGCTCCTATTTTAGAATCACCTCAGCTCTGGCCATTGCAGCCGCTTCGAGAGTGAGCCAGCAGATGGAAGATCTTTCTTACTGTCTTTCCTCCTCTCTGTAAATCTGACTTTCCAGTAAAAAAGTTTTTTTAATCCAATTTAATAATGCTTATATTGATCTACTTTGAAGGATTTAGTATCTCGCTACTAAAATGACTACTGAATTTTTCTTATCCTTAAATAGGTTATCACAGTAGGGCTAGATCTGCTGACTGCATGGATCATAATTAAAACCGATTCTTCCCTTTAAAAATATTTATTTATTTATTGGAGAGGCAGGGTTGCAGAGATGTTGAGGGAGAGACAGTGACAGATTTAAGCAGAGATCTTGCATTCACTTGTTCCCTTTACAAATGGCCAGCTCTGGGCCAGGTTGAAACCAAAAGCTAGAAAATTCTTCCCAGGTTTCCCATATGGGTGAAGGGGGTTCAAGTACTTGGGGCCATGTTCTGCTGTTTTCCCAGGCCATGGTTAGAGATCTGGATCAGAAGTGGAGCAACTAGAACTTGAACTGGCTCCCCATTGGGATCCCTGTGTCTCAGGTGACAGTTTGACGCACCATGCTAAGACACTGACCCTTCCCTTTTGTATTTTTTTAAAGACTTATTTGTTTTCATTGCAAAGTCAGATATACAGAAAGGAGGGGAAACAGAGGAAGATTTTCCATCCGTCGATTCACTCCCCAGGTGGCCGCAGAGGCCAGAGCTGAGCCGATGCGAAACCAGGAGCCAAGAACCTCTTCCAGGTCTCCTACATAGGCACAGGGTCCCAAGGCTTTGGGCCATCCTGGACTGCTTTCCCAGGCCACAAGCAGGGAGCTGGATGGGAAGTGGAGCAGCTGGGACATGAATCAGTATGCAAATGATCCCAGCGCATGCAAGGAAGGATTTCGCCCCTGAGTCATTGCTCCAGGCCCTGTGGGTAAACATTTTTGGCTAGAGCTCAAACACATGTGACGGGCAGGCCTTTGCTTTTGAAAAACAGCTGTTGTTTTCAAGCAAATAAAGATGAAACTGCTGGAAAAGTAAAGGAATGTTAATTAGCCATGACTTTATAGGACTTAATTGCATGTGTAGCGTGTTATATATCTTAACTTTTCCTGTTAGACAGCCACTCCATATCTGTATATGGTGAAGTCAAGTTTGTCCCCATACTTCATTTCTTATGAATCTGCAGTGTTGTATTTGCTGTTCAATGTCCCTTTCTTTCTTTGCTTTTTCTTCCTTGCTGTGGTTATTTTATGTCAAGAATAGAGTGACAGAAAGAGATCTTTCATCTGCTGGTTCCCTGCTGTAGTGGCCACAGTGACCAGGACTGGTCCAGGCTGAAACCAAGAATCTGAAACTCCATGCAGGTTTTCCATGTGATCGGAAGGGACTCAGTTATGTGTGCCATCCTTTCCCTGCTTTCCCAAGGGCTTTGGCAGGGAGCTGGATCAAAAGCAGAATAGACAGGATTCAAGCCAGCATTCTGCAGAGGGGTGCCACAGTACTGCCCCGGCAATGTCCTGTTCTAAGGGGGTGGGAGGGCTGGCTTTACTGTTTATATCTGAGACCTTGGAGTTGAACTGTTGTGTCAGAGGATGAAGAAACCAACGCAGAGGATCGGGTTCTTGCTCAGGGATTCCTAGCTGGTCTCTAGTTGCTTTAATTCCTTTGCTTGTGCTTTTCGAAAACAGCTGGCCAGATATAAATAAGGAGGTACCAAACTGTAGATGGTGATGAATTTTTAAAGAGTTTAAGA